ATCTCAGAGAGAGATAGTGCAAGAGAAACATTTTTTGCTATTCCACTTATCTAGGAACTCACTGCTTGCTTCTTGTATGTGCCCTGACTGGAGATTAAACCAGCAACGTTAGCATATCTAGATGATTCTCTAATCAACTGAGCAATCTGGCCAGAATCTAGAATGGAAATCTTCCTGCAATTTTAATGACTTCATTTTACACTGTTCATTACATCCTAACTGAAAATTTGGAAGGGAATTTCTACTTACTCGTTTATATCAAATAAGTTTCATAATTGTAGAGAATAAAAGTCTTGGGAGACCCAAAATGTATAGAAAAAAACACACAATATTTCTCATTTTGTCTTCAGGGTCTCTATGGAATAAAAGACGACGTCTTCCTTAGTGTTCCTTGCATCTTGGGACAGAATGGAATCTCAGATGTGGTGAAGGTGACTCTGACATCTGAGGAAGAGGCCCGTTTGAAGAAGAGTGCAGACACACTGTGGGGGATCCAGAAAGAGCTGCAGTTTTAAAGTCTTCTAATGTCAGACCACCTCACTGTCTAGGTTACAGCAGGATTTTAGTTGGAGATTGCATATTGTCCTTTTTTCCTGATCTGTGACTAAGAACATGTTTCCTAAAGATAGAGATAGTAATGGTTCATAAAACCCAGCATCTGCATCCTGTTGCTGGATGGCCCTTATCTTGTGTAGTCCTAAACTGGTTAGTGTGAAATAGTTCCACCTCCTCGAAGGCACCACTGCCAATGCTGCTCACACTACAGTTGTCCTTCAGACTAAATGTGTGTTCATTGTGTGTTACATAATGTGTTCCTTTTTCTCCAATCAGTCACATCCTGGGATCCAATGTAAATCCAATATTGCATGTTGTGCATAACTGTCCTAAAGGATCTTATTCTGTATACTGTATGTATCAGATTAGTGTACATTGCCATATAATGTAAAAAGAAAAGTCTACATATAAATAATACAGCCAACTATCCAAGTGTCATACCAACTAAAATGCCAAATAAACCTTGAACAGTGACTACTCTGTTAATTTATTTCCATATAAAATCATAAAGCTACAATCCATTGCATTATTGGGAGCTACCTCGTTATTCCTGAGCAGCTGCAACGATTTTTGTTTATTTATTGGTTGATTTTAGAGAGAAAGAAACATCTATTTATTGTTCTAATATATGCTCATTGTTGGTTCCTTCTTGTATGTGCTCTGACTGGGCATTGAATGTACCCACAACCTTGGTGTAATAGGATGGTGCTCTAACCAACTGAGCTGCAATGATTTTTTTCTTTAAGGGATATTTACTATTGACCAGACTTTAGTTTAATCTGAATTAACAGATTAAGGCTGTGGCTAGATTGATTAGGTTCTTTTGGTGCCATTTCCATTTTAATCAGTTATTTTCATATACTAAACCCAAAGGTATTACATAAGATACAACTTGATAGAATTTTTGTTTTCGGAGACCAGTAACATAATGCTATAGTACCCCCTTATCTATGGGTGATATATCCAAGGCCCCCAGTGGATGCTTGAAACCACAGACAATACCAAACCCTATGCATACCATTTTTTTTATCATATATATGGAATATGATAATGTTTAATTTATAATTAAGAGCAATGCCCCGAGCAGTTTGGCTCAGTGGATGGAGTATAGGATTGTGTGGACTGAAGGGTCCAGGTTCGATTCCAGTCAAGGGCATGTACCTTGGTAAAGGGCACATCCCCAGTAAGGGGTTTTCAGAAGGGAGCTGATCAATATTTCAAACTATCTCTCTCCCTTCCTCTCTGTAAAAAAAATCAGTAAAATATATTAAAAATAAATAAATTAGGAGCAGTAAGGAATTAATAAAATAGAACAATTTAAACCAAGACTAAAATGTTATGAGTGTGGCATTAGGTCAAATAAGAGTTACTTGAACATAAGCACTGCGCTATAATAGTTGAGCTGATAACCAAGATGGCTACTAAATGACTAATGACTGGGTAGTATGTACCATGTGGATAATCTCCACACTGGGATTATCATGGCTCAGGCAGGATGAAGTTGGATGGCACAAGATTTCCTCATGCTACTCAGGATGGTGTGTAATTTAAAACATGAATAATTTCTGGAATGTTCCAATTAACATTTTCAGACTACATTTGACTATGGAAAACCATGGAAAGCAAAACTGGATAAGTGGAGGGACTACTGTTTTTTTTTTTGTTTTTTTTTATTTAAAAAAATATATATTGATTTTTTTACAGAGAGGTAGAGGGATAGAGAGTTAGAAACATCAATGAGAGAGAATCATTGATCAGCTGCCTCTTGCACACCCCCTGTTGGGGATGTGCCCGCAACCAAGGTACATGCCCTTGACCGGAATCAAACCCGGGACCTTTCAGTCCGCAGGCCGACGCTCTATCCACTGAGCCAAACCGGTTTCGGCTATTTTTATGTTTTATTGACTTTAGACAGGAAGGGAGAGGGAGAAACAATGATGAGACAATCATCGATCAGCTGCTTCCTGCACGCCCCTATTGTGGGTTGAGCCCACAACCCAGGCATGTGCCCTAACTGGTAGTCAAACCATGATCTGGTTCAAAGGTTGCCATTCTACACAAACATGTCTGAAAAATAATGCTTAAGAGACACTTGTTAAACTTATATAGATTTTTTTCAGATTTAATCTTGTTAAACTCCCATGCTTTCTGGCACAGTAAGTGTTCCAGGCACACATTGTGTCTTTGCCCCAGGCAAGGAATAGCCCTGAGTCTTTTTAATGGAATATGATCTCATTTTAGTTTTAATGCCTCGTGAAGTGGATTAGGCAGGTCTTAGCCGCCATCTCACACAAACTGCCTGTTAATGGGAGGAAAAGAGGGAATGGAAAGTTGACAACATGGTCCTCCTTTCATATAGAATGATATGCCTATCTCTCTATGTGTGCAGATATTTCCCCCACTAAAATCTACGTTGAGAAAATAAAACTATCACGACTTCAAAGCCATATTCTTTCTAATCCTCTGCAGACTGCCTACTTTGGTAGGTGTGGGAATATGCAAAAATCTTGCATATTTGGCTCTTCTGTAACAAAATGGTAAGTTAGCTTGGCTCACAGCCACCAGAGAAAACCACTCAGGCAGAGAGAATGTCTGGCTCCTGCCAATGCCCCTAGGGCAAGAATGAAGAGCTTTTCTTCAGTCAGAACAGGAGTTTGGTCGCAGGGGTAGGAAGCAGATGTAGAGCTTAGATTTGGAGGTCACCGAGGCCAGCAGTGTCTCCCTCTGAGCCCCATGGAAGTGAGGTTCAAAGGCAGGGAGTTGCTGTGAAAGCACACAAGTAAGTTTAGTACAGAATCAACAACAGCTGCCACTCCTGCTCACCATAGAAACCGCTTGCTTGGGGTTGGCAATAGGTTAAAGTCCCTAAGAGGAACAGGAGGAGGGAGATGGTGGTAGTTGACACATTGGTCAAGGAAAGCTAGAGGAAGTGGCATATATGCTCAAAACTAAAAATGAACAATCAACGTTGAGAAGGGCTGAGGGAGAACTTTCCATATATAGGGAACAGCAAGAAGTTCTCAGCCATATTAACTGTTGAACGATATTAACTGTTGAATATAATAGAGTCAGAGGTAATGAAGGGGAGTGGACTGATGATTCTCGGGGAAAAGAGGAGTGGGGGTGCGGGAAGAGACTGAACATAAACTGTGCACCTCTGGATGAGGACAATGGGGGGTGGGGAAAGGGCAGAGGGTGGGGTGGGAACCTGGTGGAGGGGAAAAAATATGAGGAACTTTTGTAACAATATGAACAATAAAGATTTATTTTTTTTTTAAAAGAAAAAGCTGGGCGGAGAGTGTGATGAAGAGTGTGTTAAGAAGAAGTTGCAGAGGTGTGAGGAGGCCACATTTAAATGTATCATAGATTGTAAAAATTAGTTATTTTTTCCCCCTTATTTTAAAATTGTTTTTTTGTTTGTTTGTTTGTTTTTTTAGAGAGAGGAAGAGGGAGAGAAGAGTGATGTGAGAGCAAAACATCAATGGGCTGCCTTTTGCATGCCTCCAACCAGGGGATGGAACCCGCAACAGGAGGACGTCCAACCAACTGAGCTGCACAAACCAGGGCAATTTTCTTTTTTAAGTGTGACGGAAAGCTATTGAAGCAGAGTTATTGCTTTAAGCAGAGTTATTGCATGATCTGAACTATACTAATCATAGGCTTTGATACAGAAAATGAATTACCCTTTAGATTTTGAAAAAAATTCAAATGCAAATGACAAAAAATGACACAGGAGGTTGTGTCCCTTTGTGTAATAAATTAAAATCACTCTTAGAAAACTAGACATGGCCATATATATTTTTTATTTCAGAGGGGAAGGGAGAGGGAAAGAAATAGAAACATCAATGATGAGAATCATTGATCATCTGCCTCCTGCAGGTCCCCCACTGGGGATCAACCCTAACTGGGATCGAACCTGGGACCCTTAAGTCCGCAGGCCCAGCTAGGGCTTCTTTTATTTAAACAAACAAACAAACAAAAAAAAAAAAACCACCAAACATTTTTTATTGATTTTTAGAGAAAGAGGAAGGGAAAGGGAGGAACTTTGATGAGAAAGAAACATCCAACCAAAGCCTGTTTGGCTCAGTGGTAGAGCATCAGTCTGCGGACTGAAAGGTCCCAGGTTCGATTCCGGTCAAGGGCATGTACATTGGTTGTGGCAGCTGGTCGATGTTTCTCTCTCATAGGCGTTTCTAGCTCTCTCTCTCTCTCCCTTCTTCCTCTCCGTGAAATATCAATAAAATATACATATATAAAATTTTTTTTTAAAAAGAAACATCCATTGGTTATCTCCTGCATGCCCCCCACTGGGGAATGAGCCTGCAACCTGGGCCTATTCCCTGACTGGGAATCAACCCAGTGACCTCTCAGTACATGGGTGGATGCTCAACTACTGAGCCACACAGGCTGAGCTCATGTTCATGATTACCCTCTACTCTCGCAAGAGAAATTCAAACATTATTTCAGCACTCCATCCTGAAGTTACATAGCTTAATAATAATAATTTTTAAAAATTCCTGCAAATGAATGTTTGGATATAGGTGTGTGGTAAGTGCACCAACATGTGTGTTCCTCAAAGTCAGGTTGGTCACTCCCAAAGTCCAATAAAGACACTTGACTGCTTTAAGCTGGCAAAACCCTAAAAAACAGGAGGTGCTTCCCAGGAGGGATCTTTCCCATGGGGGCCTGGAGAGCTTAGCCGGGTGGTAGTGGGATCTCCAAAAAGCCAAGGCCCGAAAATCCGTCCCAGGCCGCCTGAAGGAAACGAAACAACTCTCCGATAACCTTGATTGCACACTTTCCAAGATCTTAAGTCTTCACACGGACAGCAGGAGGATGTACCTGCAGGCACCCAACACCCAAGCAACCAGCTCCCACCAAGAGGATACCAAGCGTCTGCCAATGCGCCTGCGCCGGCCGGCGAGGGCGGGGCCTGCGTGCTGACGTACGCGGAGCGTGCTTGCGTGCGTCGGGCGGGGAATAACCGTAGCGGGGCTTCGCACCTCAACTGCCGTGGGTGCTGTTCTCTGGGGTCCCTATTTCAAAAACCCTTAAAGGCTGTGTGTGATGCCTCCGGGCTGTCTGTATTGAGTTGACCAGAGCAGAGCGTTTGTGAGTATCTGGCCCTGGAGCGAAAATGGTGGCCGGGGCAGGGAGAGCTCAGCCCCTATGGTGCCTCAGCCCCTACGGCCTCCCCACGCCCGTGACCTGGATATTCTTTTTTTTTTTTTGCTTCCCCTTAACCCTGGCTCCCCCTTTGGTGCAAACTCAAGCGGTAGTTTCTTAGTTCAGTGTGATTAAGGACTTCGCTAGCCATGAGCGTTATTCAGGGAGTTCGATCCCACTGAAACTGCGTTATCGCTCTCAGGTTCTCAGAATGTCAACGGTCAAGGAGCAGCTGATTAAGAACCTGGTTGTGGAAGATAAAACTTCCAATCAGAAGATCACCGTGGTTGGGGTTGGTGCGGTAGGCATGGCTTGTGCAGTCTGTATCTTATTGAAGGTAAGTAAGCGATACGCCTGTTCTGGGGCTGAAGATCAAGCCCTTTCAGGTCTTGTCAGTAGACGAGTTCAGGTTTGCAGGGCTAATCAATTGACAGCACCTGTTGTAGTCTTTCTGCGCCTTCAGCCTTAGGGGTGGTCGTTTCAAACTGTGGTTACAATCTTTGGATTATCTCAAGTATTATCTTTTTCTTGTTTCATCCTGCCAACATCTGTCTAAACAATTCCCTATATCAAATCCCTTCCATTGAAATGCTTAGAATGGTTTCTGTTTTCCTGTTTCAGACCCAGACCCATCTATAGATCGATATAAAAATAGATCCTTAAACTCTTTTTTTTAAAAAAATATTTTATTGATTTTTCACAGAGAGGAAGAGAGAGGGACAGAGAGTCAGAAACATCGATGAGAATCATCAATCAGCTGCCTCTTGCATCCCCCCACTGGGGATGCGCCCGCAACCAAGGTACATGCCCTTGACCGGAATCGAACCCGGGACCTTTCAGTCCACAGGCCGACGCTCTAGCCACTGAGCCAAACCAGTCCTGGCAACTTTTAGTTTTTAAAAAATCGGCTAGCCCTGGCTGGTGTGGCTCAATGGATAGAGCTTGGCCTGTGTACTCGGTTCCGGTCAAGGGTACATGCCTGGGTTGTGGGCTCGATCCCCAGTGGGGGGCGTGCAGAAGGCAGCCGGTCCATGATTTCTCTCTCATCATTGATGTTTCTATCTCTCTTTCCCTCTCCCTTCCTCTCTGAAGTCAATAAAAATATATTTTAAAAAAATCAGCTAGCCAAAAGTTACATTCTTCTGGATGAAACTCCTTATTCTCCTCTTATTCCTGATATATGATACATAATTTAGTAAATTTTAGAATTTCCAGTCAGATAACATGGTTCCTGATTTGAGAAAAAAACCATTAATAAATAGGACTTGTATGTATCCTTTTTCATTATTGCTCATCTTTGGAATCTGGCCACTGGAATCTAAGTGAATACACTCCTTCTATATAGTTTTACTAGAGGCCTGATACATAAAATTCATGCACTGGGGGTAGGGGTGTCCCTCAGCCCAGCCTGCACCCTCTTCAATCTGGGACATCTCTCTTACAATCTAGGACTGCTGACTCCCAACTGCTCACCTGCCTGCCTTCCTGATTGCCCCTAACCACTTCTGCCTGCCAGCCTGATCACCCTCTAACCACTCCCCTGCCAGGCTGTTTTCCCCTGCCTGCCAGCCTAATCACTCCCTAACCACTCCCCTGAAGGCCTGGTCACCCCTAACTGCTCTCCCCTGCAGGCCTGATCCCCCCTCCCCCCCCCCTCCCAACTGCTCTACCCTGCAGCCTGGTCCCTCCCAACTGCCTTCCTCTGCTGGCCTGATCACCCACAACTGCCCTCCCTTGCAGACCCAGTCCCTCCCAACTTCCCTCCCCTGCTGGCCATCTTGTGTCCACATGGGGGCAGCCATCTTGTTACAGTGATAGTCAATTTGCATATTACTCTTTTATTAGATAGCATAGAGGCCTGGGTGCATGGGTGGGGCCAGCTGGTTTGCCCTGAAGGGTGTCCCAGATTAGGGTGGGGGTTCCCTTGGGGTGTGGGGCAGCCTGAGCGAGGGGCCTGTGGTGGTTTGCAGGCTGGCCACACCCCCAGGGACCCAAGCAGAGACCCTGGATCTGGGATTTATCTTCTACAATTGAAACTTTGTAGTCTGAGTGGAGGTCTCAGCCAGCCAGGGTGTGCAGAAAGCTTGGCTTCCTCCATTGTAGGGGAAACCCAAGCCTCCCTCCTGCTCGCTCAGTAGCCACAGCCATCTTGGTTGGGATCAATTTGCATACTCACTCTTGATTGGCTGGTGGGCATAGTTGTGGACGTGGCTTGTGGGTGTAGCAGCGTGCTGGTTAATTTGCATGTTTAAAAATATATATATATTTTATTGATTTTTCACAGAGAGGAAGAGAGAGGATAGAGAGTTAGAAACATCAATGAGAGAGAATCATCGATCAGCTGCCTCTTGCACACCCCCCACTAGGGATGTGCCCACAACCAAGGTACATGCCCTTGCCCAGAATCGAACCTGGGACCTTTCAGTCCGCAGGCCGACGCTCTATCCACTGAGCCAAACTGGTCCCGGCTGCATTTTTCTTTTATTAGCTAGGATATTCTGTTGAATCTGATGAAAACCCAATTCAAATTAGAGTAAGCATATAAAAAGGCTATATATTGTCCATATAACTAGAAAATCTAAGAGCAGAACTAGCTTCAGGTACTACTAGATCCTAGAATTTATACATATTGAGACACAGTATTTATATATCTTGGTTTATATTTCCTCTGTTGGCTTAATTCTCAGGCAGAGTCTTTCTATGTAGTGGTAAAGATGACTATAGTTTATTCTTAAGAGTCTTATGTCATTCTTAGAGCTATGATTCCAAAGAAAAATGACACTTAATTTTCCATCTTCCCTTTTCAAACCTTATAGACATTATGCCCATTTGTTATACCTGGGCCATATGCCCATTTGTGAATTAATTTCTGTGACCAGAAGGAAGAATGGAACAATTGGTTTAGTCTGGTTATATGCTCATCTACTGTTAGGTTGGAGGGCTGATATTAATTGTACTGTACGGACCTACATGAAAAGGGTTCCTATAGGTGGCTACTTTTCTATTTGGCCATAACAGTGCATACTAAAAACAACTTCAGCCAATTTAGAAATAAGGCATATGGGCTAAATATAGTAAATCCTTGGAAAGAATTTAATAATTTTTTCACTGGCTTTATTTTTTAAATTGATTTTTAGATAGAAAGAGGAAGGGAGAGAGGAATGGAGGAGGAGAAGGAAGGAAGAAAGGGAAGAGAGAGAGAGAGACAGAGGCAGAGACAGAGATAGAGACAGAGATATCTGTCCCACTTATTTATGCATTTACCAGACCTCCTGGTGCACAAAATTCATGCACAGGTAGGGTTGCTAGGCCTGGCTGGCAGTCAGGGCTGATCAGGCCCTTTGGCTGCCAGCCAGGGCCTTCCTTCATTTTGTGCCACTTCCTGGGTCAGTGCATGTCATAGTGAGCGATAGAACTCCCAGTCTCCTGGTCAAACTCAGGAGGGGACACTTTGCATATTAACCTTATATATATATAAACTAGAGGCCTGGTGCATGGATTTGTGCACTGGTGGGGGGGCATGGCTGCAGGGATCAGCCCGCTATGGGAATGTTGCTCATGCCTGTCGGCCACATGGCGCTCCCACTGTAAGAGCACATTGACCACAAGGGGGCAGCTCCTGCATTGAGTGTCTGCCCCCTGGTGGTCAGTGTGCATCATAGCAACTGGTCAACTGGTCATTGTGGTCCTTTGGCCATTCGGTTGCTAGGCTCTTACATATATAGATTGGTTGTTTCTTGTATGTGCCTTGACCGTGTCATCTTACTGCAACCTTGGTGTATCTGGACATGCTCCAACCAACTGAGTTAGCCAACCAGGGCAACTTTTCATTGGTTTTAAACTGTTATCTGAAGTGAAAGAAACCCAATTCTAACAAAATTAACATGTATATAAAGGCAAAACAATGAATTTTTATTACATTCTGTTGTTTACCTTGATTCTGGCCCATTCTGGGCATATTAAAAAAAACTATCATTTTTATATAATTTTTCTATTAAAAAAATAATTCTCCTTTGAGTATAAAATAGCCACACACAACTTTTTCTCATTCTTCTAAACTAGAAACATTTTCCAGAATACCTTATTTATAACTTTAATATATTTTAGGATATGGCTGATGAACTCGCCCTTGTTGACATCGCAGAGGACAAGTTGAAGGGAGAAATGATGGATCTTCAGCATGGCAGTCTTTTCTTTGCTACTTCAAAGATTGTTGGTGGAAAAGGTTAATTTTAGTGTTTTTTACAATATTTATTGATTTGAGAGAGAGGGAAGAAAGAGAGTGTGGGAGGGGCATTGATTTGTTGTTCACTTATTTATTCATTCGTTGGTTGATTCTTATATGTACCTTGACCAAGAATCGAACCTATAACCTTTTGGTGTACGGGATCATGCTCCAATCAATGAGCTACCCAGCCAGGGCTCTACTAAATTTTTATGGTTTTCCTTCACTTTTATTTTTCCTTATACTTAAAAGGACAATTTAAAAAATATTTTTATTGATTTTAGTGAAGAAGGGAGAGGAAGAGAGAGAGAAATATCTATTGGTTGCCTCTCACACATGCCCTGACCAGGGACTGAACCTGAAACCTAGGCATGTGCCCTGACCAGGAATTAAACTGACAGTCTCCTAGAACAACCTTGTTTTTCTAAGACATTCAAATTAATATTCATAGAAACAATTATTTCAAAATATTAATTTTGAAATGTAAAGAGAGTTTAAGTATAACAAACATTAGAGCATCCCAGTGAAACATTACCAATTTAGTTGATACATTATGTAATATCTATTCAAATTTCATTCAGAAATTGAGGTCCAAGACTAGCCTAGACAAGGTGCTTTTTTTTAAAACACATTTTAAAAATACTTATTTTGATACAGTCTATCATAAAAATCTGTTCCAGATGCATCTGTGTAGTAAGAACTGGTGCCATCTAACTCGTGAGTGTCTGAATGATATTCCATTTTTTTGTCCCAGCTGGAGCCCAAACCTTCCATGTTGTTCCTGTCTATTGATTGCCTCCAAATCCATATGACCATATCCTCAGAGTAAACTTAAAATAGTTGATTTAGGCATTCTAGGATCTGCACCCCTTTTAATTCCCAAGTAAATCATGGGTTGAATAAAGATGCAATGGATGGCAAACTGGACACACTTTAAGAGCTGCTGCATCCTCTGCTTGACCTCTGTGCTCAGCTTCACCGTGGTAGCAGCCTGGGCTGTGCAGTCAACTAGATACTCTTTAACAGAAGATGGTGAGAGTTTACTTTACCGGATATCAAGGCTTATTCTAAATGTAAACCTACACTAATTGAATGCACACACACACAAAAGATTGTTATATAACACTCATGTTGTCAATAAACATATCATCGGGAAATTTATGGTAATGATTATTTTCATAGAAAGAAAATTGAACCATTATTTGATAATACAAGAATTAATTCCAGCTTGGTTAAAAATCAAAATGTGAAAGGCAATACTTGAAAGCTTCTGTTTAGAAGATAATATGTTATCTTTATGACCTCAGGATAGGGCAAAATCTTGTAAAGACAAAGACACAGCTCAAACAATAAAGGAAAGAGTACAGAATTTGTGTTTATAAAAAGACACTGTAAAAGAGTGAAGAAACAAGCCATAAACTGAGAGAAGATATTTGCAACATAACTGACTTAAGGAATAGTATTCAGAATAAAATACTTTTATAACCCACTTGGTATGGCTCAATGGTTGAGCATCCACCTATGAACCAGGAGGCCACGATTTGATTCCCAGTCAGGGCATATGCCTGGGTTGCAGATTCAGTCCTCAGTGTGGGGCATGCAGGAGGCAGCTGATCAATGGTTCTCTCTCATCATTTTTTTCTCTCTCTCATCATTGATATTTTATCTCTCACTTCCTTTCCTTTCATCTCTGAAATCATTAATATATATATATATATATGTGTGTGTGTGTGTGTGTGTGTGTGTGTGTGTTTAAAAGTACTTGTATAATAAATGGAAAATATACAGATCTCAGTAGAAAAATGGGAAAAGACAAACATTTCACAAAAGAAGAAACTCTAATAGTCTATAAATATATGAAAAGACAATTTTATTAGTAACGAAAGCAAGGGAAATAAAAGCATAACAATATACCATTACACACCCATTAGATTGGCAGAAGTATGATAAAACTAAATGTCAGCATATGAACAATAGGTGCTCTCATACTTGACATGTAGGAGTATATTATAGTAAAACCACTTTTTTAAAAAGTTTGCTATTACCTGGTGAAATTGAACATGAACATATCCCACAACCCAGAAATTGCACTCCTAGATAAATTCCCAAGAGAAACTATACATGTGGGCTAGGATACATGAACAAGATTGTATAGTGGTGTAATTTGTAATAGTTCCAAATTGGAAACAATTCAATGAATATTAATACTAAGTTGTACATAATATGCAATGTGATATTACAGAACTGTGAAAGTGAATGAACTACAAGGACATGCATTAACATGGATGAATATCAGAAGCACAATAGTTAGCTAAAATAATCTGATTCCAAAACATAAAACTTAATATGTTGTTTAAATAGCCCTCGGTGGTGGCCTAGCTGGTTTGGTTCAGTGGATAGCACATTGACCTGTGGACTGATGGGTCCTGAGTTCAATTCCAGTCTAGGGCATATTCCCAGGTTGCAGGCTAATCCCCAGTAAGGGGTGCACAGGAGGCAATCGTTCAATGATTCTCTCTCATCATTGATATTTCTCTCTCTCACTCTCCCTGTATTAAACTAATGCAAATATATTTTAACAAATAGGCATTGGTGGTAAACCTTTTTAAAAAGTAATATTGTGATTTTCACCACTTAGGAATGGTAACTTCTGAATATGAAGGATGTAGGTGCAACCCTGGAAGCATACAGGGACTTCTGAGATATTGGTGGTGTTCTGTTAAGTTGTATGATTTTTACAGTGTTGTTAATTTTAATGTTTTAAAAATTGATCATGCATTTCTTAAACACTCTTCTATATGAATGATATAGTTCACAATAGAGCATTTTGAAAATACATTTGGCAAGTTCTAGTGAGGAAGAACAAGGGGACATCATTGATTATCCACATATGTTTTAAATTTTCTGATATGTACAATAGTTAACACAGACATCAAGTGCCTGGAACATAGAAGGTGCTAAGATCTTTATGGAAGAAAGGGAGGAATATGAGATCAGAACTTGTTATTATGATCTTATGAATCATTTTAGGGTTTAAATACAACATACCATGGGAAGAAAACCTAAGGCACTATATATAAAGACTATTTTAGAATTATAGGCAGTAAGTGCTATAAAAATTCAGTGAAGTAAGAGAGTAGTATTTATGAATGAGGTCATTAGGGGATGCCTAGCAGAGGAGTTGGTATTTAAAGAAGTACTTGATTAAAAATATAATAATAATAATTGCTAACATCTATTGAACATTTAATATGTACGAGATTCTGTTCTGAGTATTTTCTGTATATAGATTCACTGAATCATCTAAAGAAAGAACTACAATATTAATCACTCAGTCTTGCAGGTGAGGAACTGAGAGAGAAATAGGCAAAAACTTGTCCAGAGTCACATAGCTAAGAAGTGGCAAAGTCAAAATAAAGGCGGTTGGATCTCAATAGTCTTTGCTCCAGACCATTATGATTTGCTGTCTCTTAGAGGATTGAGTTATATTTAAAAAGGGAAATAAGTAATAAGTATGGAGATGATAGCATTAATAAATCATGGCATCTGGAAAGTGACAAAAATAATACATGAAGTTAGTAAAATATCTTGGGCAGATTATGAAGACTTGATATTTTACTTTGTTATGCACTTTGACTTTGTTAGACACAGTATTTCAAATAATCAATTTGAATTGTGGAGAGATGACTGAAGAAGATGGAAGGCTTTTATGTCTGTATCCTCAAAAAGTTGAGGTGGGATGACCTCACTCATTTATGGATAATAAAGAACACTATAAACTGATGAACCAAAAGATAGATATAGAGACAGTAAAGCAACAAGCAGACTGTCAAATTACAGCGGGGAGGGTAGGGAGATCTGGGGTAGATAAGAGATTAACCGAAGGACTTGTATACATGCATATAAGTACAACCAATGGACACAAAACTCTGGGGAGGTAGGGTATGTATGGGAGGGGGAGGAATGGTAAGATATGTACACAGATAATAATTTAATTTAATTTAAAAAAAGTTGAGGTGGTGAGAAGGGAGGAAGAGAGGGGATGGTGAGAAGAGAGACAGACAGATTACTTTGGATTTCTCTGGTTAGGTAAGTTTATGGAAGGTCAATGTCAAGCAAGGTCTTTGAGCAAGAATGAGTAGATTGCCGAAACCGGTTATCTAATTAAATTTTTTGACATTCATATGATAAATAACTTCAAGGTATATAATATTTTTTAAAAAAATTTCATTATAGAATATGAGCATCATATCATATTATCATTAGGGATTTTATAGGTGAAACAATTTTATAGCTGATCATTAGATTTAGAAAGTAGTTTATTTTTTTTGTGTGGATCAAATCCTGTCCATTTTAATTAGAAATAAATACATTCCTACTCTTAGAATCCTGAAACAGATTTATACATTTTCAGAGTTTTAAGGTTCTGAGATAAATATATATATATAGAGAGAGATAGATAGATAGATAGATAGATAGATAGATGAGTTTCTAAGAAGCCAGAGAGTTGATTTGCATTGCCTCAGGCCTTAATAACAAATGAGAATGTCGGCTTAAAAAGATAGTATGATCTATTTTTTAAATCTTTTTTTTAATATATTTTATTGATTTTTTACAGAGAGGAAGAAAGAGAGAGAGAGAGCCAGAAACGTCGATGAGAGAGAAACATCAACCAGCCGCCTCTTGCACACCCTGCACCGGGGATGTGCCCGCAACCAACGTACATGCCCTTGACCGGAATTGAACCTGGGACCTTTCAGTCTGCAGACCGACGCTCTACCACTGAGCCAAACCGGCTTTGGCTTTTAATCTTTTAAAAAATATATATTTTATTGATTTTTTACAGAGAGGAACAGAGAGGAATAGAGAGCCAGAAACATCGATAAGAGAGAAACATCATCAGCTGCCTCCTGCACCCCCCCCACAGGGAATGTGCCCGCAACCAAGGTACATGCCCTTCACCGTAATCGAACTCGGGACCTTTGAGTCCACAGGCCGATGCTTTACCCACTGAGCAAAACTGTCTTGGCTGATCTTTTTTTTTTTTTTTTTTTTTTTTTTTTTTTTTTTTTTTTTAAAGCTGTTTGAAACTTTTAAGTTATAGTGACAAGACTTCCTTCAGTTTATTCAAAGTAATATTACTACATGGAAAGTCTGTTCATTTCCAAATGCTAGACATGAGGATATATAAATGCTTTAATACCAAGATCATACAATAGTCTTTTAAAGAATTAAGGCACAATGATTATGGCAGTCATGATCCAAATAATTGTCTTTTGTTTCCCTTTTAGATGATCGTGTATCTGCAAATTCCAAATTAATTATTGTCACAGCAGGTGTACGGCAAAAGGAAGGAGAAAGTCGTCTTTCCCTGGTTCAACGTAATGTGGACATCATGAAATCAGTTATTCCTTCCCTGGTCAAGTATAGTCCTGACTGTAAGATACTTATTGTCTCAAATCCAGGTAAGTCTTTTTTCATTAACTGCATAAAGATGGCCTTTCCAGACCATTCCTTTTTTCTTTTTTCTTTTTTTTTCCCCCTAGCGCAAGGGGAAGTTTACTTAGCATGCAAAGCAAAAGTACACTTAGAGAAGATTAGAGCAGAATGCCAGAGAGCTGCCTTGGCCTTTTAGAAAGTCACAGAGGCAGAAGAAGTGAGCCAGCTGGGCTGTGTGAACTCAGGAATCAAGTTACAGAGGCAAAAGAAGGGGTTTGAAGGGGGTTAGCCCAGGATGAGCCCCTTATTTGCAAGTCTTGTAGGAACCCTAACAGAAAGAAAACAAAGATACAAGCCTGAAGAATGAAGGCATGGACAGGTTCTGGAGAAAGAGCATGTACTGGGTCCTTTATCTTAAGAGTTTGTTTATTTTATTATTATTATTATTATTATTATTATTACTACTACTACTACTACTACTACTACTACTACTAGAGGCTCGGTGCACAGACTCTGCTGCCACTCATATAACATATACATTTTAATCCATTTTGAGTTTATTCTTATGGATGGTGTAAGAAGGTTGTCTAATTTCATTTTACTGCACACATCTGTCCAATTTTTCTAACACCATTTATTGAATAGACTGTCTTTATCCCATTGTATGTTTTTGCCTCCTTTATCAAGTCTTAATTTACTATAAAGGTGTGGATTATTTTTGGGTAACGCAAAAATTAGAGACAAAAAAGAATATTACATAATGACAGAAGGTTAATAGATACAGAAAAAGCATTTAACAAAAATCAACACCCACTCATTATTTTACAAATGAATCTCTCAGTAAACTATGCATAGAGGAAAATTATTCTGAAAAAAGATATTTATGAAAAATATAGCTATCATCATACTCAATGGAGAAAGACTGAAAGGTTTCTCCCTAATGACACCTAGGTAAGACAAAGATGTCATTTCATCACTTCCATTTAACATCATGCTGGAAGTTCTGGCTAGAGTCACTGAACAAAGATTTATCAAAAACTTTGTGTGTTTTTTAAAATATATTTTATTGATTTTTTACAGAGAGGAAGAGAGAGGGATAGAGAGCCAGAAACATCAATGAGAGAGAATCATTGATAAGCTGCCTCCCGCACATCTCCCCCCCCCCCCCCCCCCCCCGCCCCAATGGGGATGTGCCCGCAACCAAGGTACATGCCCTTGACTGGAATCGAACCTGGGACCCTTCAGTTTGCATGCCGATGCTCTAACCACTGAGCCAAACTGGTTTTGGCAAAAAAATCCCACAACTTTATTTGTTTATTTAAATATATTTTTATTGATTTCAGAGAGGAAAGGAGAGGAAGAGAGAGAAAATCAATAATGAGAGAGAGTCATTGATTGGCTGCCTCCTGCATGCCCCATACTGGGAAGAGAGCCTGCAACTTGGGCATGCACCCTTGACCGGAATCTGGGACCCTTTAGTCCACAGGCTGATGCTCTACCACTGAGCCAGACCATCTAGGGCTCAGACATAAACTTTAAATCAACTATTATAAATATGTTTAAAGAGCTAAAGCAAACCAAGCCGAAAGAACTAAATATGTCTCACCACATATTGAATAGTAATAAACAGAAGTTTAAAAAAGAAACTAAATAGTTTTGAATTGAAAGTTGAATGAAAATTTAATAGAAGGGTTTAACATCAGATTGAAAAGGAAGGAGGAGTTAGTAGACTTGAGGATAAGTTAGTTCAATGTTAGGACTTTCTAAGTTTCTACTGATGCTTTTTTCCCCCTTTGGTGCAAACTTCTTTATTTTGTTTCATGCCTCATAATTTTTGTTAAAAACTGAACATTAAAAAAATTATAGTATGCCCTATCTGGTTTGGCTCAGTGGATAGAGTGTTGGCCTGCAGATGGAAGGGTCCCAGATTCCATTCTGGTCAAGGGTATGTGCCTTGGTTGCGGGCGCATCCCCAGTGGAGAGTGTGCAGGGGGCATTTGAACGATGTTTCTCTCTCATCGATGTTTCTAACTCTCTATCCCTCTCTTTTCCTCTCTGTAAAAAGTCAATAAAATATATATTTTAAAAAAAAATTATAGTATGAAAACTGTATAAATCAAATTCTTCTCTTCTAGGGATTTTGTTGTTGTTGTTGATGCTTGTTGCAGTTGTCTTTTGTTTATTTCATGATTTCTGTGAACTCATTCTGCAAGTCTGTATTCTTTGTTGTGCCTGGCCGAAGACATCTTTCATCTGTTTGTTTAGTGATCAGCTAATGATTGAATGGAACTTTAAAAAAATGTGGAACCAAAACGTATCTCCCAGTCTTTGATGTAGGCCTCTGTATGCATGTTGGAGCATGCCTTCAACACTCGGCCAGTTTACAACTGTGCCCTTCACTTCCTGCTTGTGCAGAGCCTCAAAGTCATACAGAGCTTAAGCTTAGGATCTTCTCATGTTTTTCCCGAGCATGCATGCACTGGCACACTGCCCTGGGTATGCATGTGACTTTTGTCTAGGTAGGAAATGTTGGTAGCTTAGATGAGGCTATGGTGATAGAGAGGAAAAAAACTAGGCAGCCTTGACATAGAATTAACCGACTATAAAATACACAGATAGGCACATACATTATCTTAAAAGAATTAAAAAATTCTAATAGTGAATAATTTAACCTGTTAAAACCTACGTGAGAGATTATCAGTATTTTCTTGTTGAATTGCTTTGCTTCAAATTTTGTAATAAATTTATATTTGACTAAGACAATTGATCTGTCTATTCAGAAAAGCAAGTTGTAAAAGGATGTTATTATAAATCTTTTTGTAACAATACATTTTTCTTCCTAGTGGATATTTTGACATATGTGGTCTGGAAGCTAAGTGGCTTACCTGCCACTCGTATAATTGGAAGTGGTTGTAATCTAGACTCTGCCCGTTTCCGTTACCTGATTGGAGACAAGTTGGGTGTCCATCCCACTAGCTGCCACGGTTGGATTATTGGAGAACATGGTGATTCTAGTGGTAAGTATAAACCCATTTTCATTATGTAATCACACTTATCTATAATGATGCCTATTTAAAGTATTTTTTGTGATATTAATATAGCTGTGTAACTTTTGTTTTATTGGTATTTCCCTGGTTTACACTATCTTTTTTTATTTTTTTATTTTCAGTCTTTTGCATCATTGATTTAGTTACCACTCATTACATTGTGCATAGAGCATATAACTATTTTAAAAGTCAATGAAGGTTTCTCTTAGCTGGAGCACTTTCATTTATCCTTATTTTTTTTAAACATTACAAAGGTACAATTCATATACCATAAAATTCACCCATTTAAAATGTATAATTCACTGGTTTTCACTGAGATATGCAGTCATTACCACAGCCTAATTATAGAACATTTTCATTACCCCAGAAAGAAACTTTTACTTCTGAACTCACTCCCACCCTAGCTCCATGCAACCACTAATTTATTTTCTGACTATATAGCTTTGCTTATTCCAGACTTTTCATCTAAATAAATTTATATAATTTGTGACTTAAACTGTTACTTAGGCCATACCAACTTTTTTCTTTTCTGAACTTAAAACATTTAAGCTCTGCAGCACAATTAGAACTTTATTCTTCTTACAGTGTTCTCTAATTGTATCATATCTTTGAATCTTTTTTCCAGAGTGGCAGTAAACCCATTAAGAATAGGGACCAGCCGAAACCGGTTTGGCTCAATGGATAGAGCATCGGCTTGGGGACTGAAAGGTCCCGGGTTCGATTCCGGTCAAGGGCATGTGCCTTGATTGCAGGCATATCCCCAGTAGGGGGTGTGCAAGAGGCAGCTGATCGATGACTCTCTCTCATCGATGTTTCTAACTCTCTATCTCTCTCCCTTACTCTCTGTACAAAATCAATAAAATATATATATATTAAAAAAAAAAAAAAAAGAATAGGGACCAATGCCGAAACCAGTTTGGCTCAATGGATAGAGTGTCGGTCTGCGGACTGAGGGGTCCTGGGTTCAATTCTGGTCAGGGCATGTACATTGGTTGCGGGCACATCCCCATTGTGGGGTGTGCAGGAGGCAGCTTATCAATGATTCTCTCTCATTGATGTTTCTGGCTCTCTATCCCTCTCTCTTCCTCTCTGTAAAAAATCAATAAAATAAAGTAAAAAAGAATAGGGACCATTGATTCAGTTATTCATTTGTTTAGTCAAAGCATTTAATGAATCCTCCTTATAGTTGTCTGTTGTTTTTTTTATTACAAATGTCATCCTATATAATAAAAGCCTAATATGCTAAGTGTCCAACTGTTCATTTGATTGTTCAGCCAGTTGTTATGATGCACACTGACCACCAGCAGCAAGCTAACCTACCGGTTGGAGCGTCTACTCCCTGGTGGTCAGTGTGCATCATAACAACTGATTGGGACTGGGGCGAGACAGGTGGACATGCCCTGGAGCCCTCACCAGCCCCAGTTATGCACTGTTGGGTATGCACAGTCCCTCACCAGCCCCTCAGCCAGGCCTGCAGGGATCAGGCTGAAACCGGCTCTCTGACATCCCCCAAGGGACCTGGATTGTGAGAGGATGCGGTATGATAACAAATACTTTTTTTTTATTAAATATATATATTTTTGATTTTACACAGAGAGGAATTGAGAGGGACAGAGAGTTAGAAACATCGATGAGAGAGAATCATCGATCAGCTGCCTCTTGCACACCCCCTACTGGGGATGTGCCCGCAACCAAGGTACATGCCCTTGCTCAGAATCGAACCCCGGACCTTTCAGTCCGCAGGCCGACGCTCTATCCACTGAGCCAAACCGGTCCCGGCAATAACAAATACTTTTGATTTGATTTAGACAAATACTTAATTTGACCTATTGGCTTGTTAACTATACTAATTCAGTTCTTCCTCCTGGAAGTCATTAAAAGTAAATTTTCCTAGTTATGTTTTTATTTCTCACTTTTAATATTTCATTATTTTATTTGAAAACAAAATGTATTTCTTCAAAAATATTTTTATTTACTTTTAAATTGATTTTTAGAGAGACAGGAAGAGAGAGGCAGATAGACATAGAAACATCAATTAGCTGCCTCCTGAATGCCTCCTACTGGGGATCAAGCCTGCAACTGGGGAGTATGCCTTGACTGGAAATTGAACCAGCAACCTCTTGATGCATAGGTCGATGCTCACCACTGAGCCACGCTGGCTGGGCAAACATTTTTTATTTATTGACTTGAGAGAGAGGGATATATTTGTTGAGAAATTTGATTGAGAAATTTGTTGTACCACTTATTTATGCATTCTTTTGTTGATTCTTGTATTTGCCCTGACTGGGAATCAAACCTACAACCTTGGTGTATCAGGATGATGCTCTAACTAACTGTGCTAGTTGGCCACATCAGCTTCACCTCATTCTTTATTGGATATGAGATTCTAGATTGACAGTAGTTCCCCCTTAGCTCTTTGTTACTGTTGAGAAGTATGGTGTTAATTTGTTGCTCTTTTCTTGCTTTGCTTGTAATATTTTATCTTTTTAACCATTCTTTTCTTTGTGGATTTTGTACTTGTGCTCTGCTTTAAAATGCCTCATATGCCACATAGTTATAAGTAAATTCTACTACTTATTTTTCTAACACATAATTTTATTTTTTACATTTCCCTTTTTGGCCATTTAAAACCTATTTTTATTATATGGTATAAGGTAGTAATCTAAGTTTATAAAAAATTACTAAAACAACAGAAGCAGTACTAAGAAGAAGAGTTCATTCTGAGATACATTTCTTTTTAGTGCCCTTATGGAGTGGAGTGAATGTTGCTGGTGTTCCTCTGAAGACTCTTAACCCTAACTTAGGAACTGATTCAGACAAGGACAAATGGAAAAATATCCATAAACAAGTTGTTGAGAGGTAAAGTACTCACTAAGTTTCTTAATGTATTAATAACAGTAAGAACAAATGTCACAGAAAAAAATATAGTTGATCTTTGAGTTTTGTGTGGTAAATGATTATAATCTTATGAAAATCCTTGAATTCAGACTTATATTTCTCATAGCTTTATTTGGGGGCATTTTCACAAAGCACTCATATGTGTTTTAGGATAATTTAGCAAGTAATTATGAGCACTTTGGAACCAGCTTTTCTAAGTTTGAAACCTGACTTCACCATTTATTAAGTAGAGTGATATTGTGAAGTTATTTAAAATTTCAGAAGCTCAGTTTCCAAGTTTTTAAAATGGGAATAATAATAGAACTTGCTTTAGAGGGCTGTTATGCAGAGTAAATGAAAAATGCTTATCATATTGTAAAATGCTTACAATAGCACTTAGAACTTGTGTTCATCAAATGATGAAAAAACAACACGAAGCTGATGCAGATAATCAGAAATTAATTGGGTATATTTATAAATGAAGTGTCTGACTCTGGAAGTCAGCTTTAACAGCACATCTGATTCTTCTTTTTGCTTTAGCCAAGTCACATATTAGTAAAAGTTATACAACCTAAAAATTACTTCTGGGTATTCTAAAGTGTAATGTTTATTTAGGATGCCAATTCTACAGAAATGTATAATAATTAGGGAAGAGACTAAAAAGGAACAAAATATAGCAAAAGTGATTATGGGAAAGTTTTTATTTCTTAAATGCCTTTTAGTTTAAAAAAATAAATTATTTTCTGATCATAAAATCATGTGATCACCTTAATTTGTACAGAGTTTCAATTGAGAAGATGACAAAGTTCTGTATATGATGGTGGTAATAGTTATACAACAGTGTTTATATACTTAATACCATTGAACTGAATACTCAAAGTGGTTAAAATGACAATTTTACCATAATTTAAAAAAGGAAACAAAGTACATGGCTATAAATAGTGTATTGAAGTTCAAACTGTCAAGTTAGCAAAGCATAATAAGCTTTATCCTAGCATTAAGTTCATCAAGTTTGGTGAAAGCACACTGGACAAAAAAACAGTATAGAGTATTAGCATTTTTAAGAAGGTTATTACAGGTGCTCAGGTGTAGCTTCCAGGCCAATCACTATGTTGGGCACACACAGTTGCAAGGGAAAAGGGCAGATTACCCCACATAGGAAAGATGCTGTCTTTGTTATCCAACACTTTTTGTTAATGATGAAAATGAGACTTCTATACATTCTTGCAAGAGCAGGTGTCAGTCCAGTTATACAGGCACCAACACTTTTTTTTAATTATAGTTGACATTCAGTAGTTTTTAATACAGTTATTGCCACATAGCCCTCAGGATCTGTATATTTGCCCTCAGGATCTGTATATTTGCTCTCTAGTCCTGGTGCAATGCACAAATCAAGGGTTACGTAATATACAATGCTGATAACCTCGCTCTGTTATGTTTACTATCCAAAATTTTAACTAATTTATTTTTTTTTCAAATTGTGATTGTGATAGGTTACACATAACATAGAATTTACCATCTTTAATCATTTTAAATTTACTCAGTGGTATTAAAATCATATTGTTGTGTAACCATTACCACCATCCATTTCATATTTCTTTCATCTTGTAAACTAAGACAATCCTATTCCTCCCTCTCTCCCCAGGCTCTGTCAACCAACATTCTTGACTTAAAAAAAAAATTAAGTCTCATATAAGTGGAATCATACAGTATTTGTCTTTTTGTGACTGGCTTATTTCACTTAGCTGATTCATTCTTCTGTCTGCTCAAATCTGCCTTTGAATCTCTAGTGGATTTTTCATTTCAGTTACAGTCATGCACTGCTTAGTGATGAGAATACATACTGAGAAATGCATTGTTAGGTGGTAATTGTGAAAACATCATAGAGTACTTAAGATATAACTTAAATGAAGCCCTGTCCAGTTAACTAAGAGCTTAAATTGGTTGAAATTAACCACAACTTACTGTACAAACCTTATCCTGAAGTTTCAAGCATTCAAAAAACTTAAGAGTTCCAATAGAGTTATATGAGACAGATTCTGGCAGTGTAATTATTGCCTAGGTAGAGAGAGAGAATCTTAGTGCTTCCTATTTTGCCATTATCCCAGAATCCTCCAGTGCTTAACTAATTTTTAAACCTAAAAAATTGTGTCTTTTTGCAAAAGCAAACTCAAGATCCTCTTCCCAGATACTCCTGCCTTTTCTGAAAGGTCCATACTTTGCTGTTAACCTTTTACTCATGATATCTCTCCATGACTTAGGTGATTATCTTTGTATCACATATTCCTCAGAGTTTGTTTGACTAACATGTCTTTAATATTTTATACATAGAAAATGAAAGGCTAATATACCTATAACCATCAGGATCTATTAAGATCAAAAGGTAATTAGAATCTCTCAAGGTGTTTTGGTAATTTTTTTAAAATATATTTCTTTATTGATTTCAGAGAGGAAGGGAGAAGAAGAGAGATATAGAAACATCAATGATGAGAGAGAATCATTGATTGGCTGCCTCCTGCACGACCCCCACTGGGGATTGACCCCGCAACCCAGGCATGTGCCCTTGGCCAGAATCGAACCTGGGACCTTTGAGTCGGCAGGCTGACACTCTATCCACTGAGCCAAGTTGGCTAGGGCTGTTTTGGTAATTCTTTACTAATTGAACTACTTTACTTTCCCCTTTTATTTACTACTAGAGGCCTGGTGCATGACATTCGTACACTGGTAGGGGGTCCCTCAGTCTGGCCCCTGCCCTGTCACTGTCCAGGACCCCTAGGGGGATGTCCACCCTCTTGCTTCTGGCTGAGTGGTGCTCTTTCCCCTTCACCCCACCCCTCTCTCTCCCCGTGGGAGAGCACTGACCACTAAGGGGCAGCTCCTGTGTTGAACATCTGACTCCCAGAGGACAGTGCGCATCATAGCGACTGGTCTTTCCATCGTTCGATCAATTTGCATATTACCCTTTTATTATATATGGGGTCACTCGTACTTTATTAAAGATATTGGTAGACACATTCAATTGTGTGTTCAGTCTCTCTAAAGCAAATTTATTCATTTATTTCTTCTTCTGGCCAAACTGTTTCCATAGAGATTGCATCAATCGGAAGTTTTTGGTCAATTTCCTAAAATATATTTTCACTTTGATCATTATTATTGTTATATTTATTTTCTTAAATTTCCTTAAAGGAATCTACAAACGCTTTGTTAATAAATTAGGTGACAAAATGTGTTAATATTAGTATCATTTTCAATCCTTCTCAACAAAAATGTCCCTTACCTATAGACCATATGTTTTCAGTTACCAGGACCCTTAGATGCCATTTCCCAGAAATGCAGAAATCTGATCTGGAGGCACAATCATAATACAGCCAACTAAGGAACATGTTTTAGCTAATACTGATTTCTAAGTGTCAGGCAGCAGTCCACCTGTTGCTTATAGGGATGACACAGTGTTAGTCTTTTGTCTGCCCAACCCCTAATAATCAGATCACAGGGAATGTTAGTTCCTTTCATCTCATGGCACACATTACTACCATTCTGTGGTACACCAAAAATGAAAAAATATTTTTTGCCGATTTGGCAAAAAATAGGTATAATTTTGAGTCATTCACACTGGACAGCTATGGTTGTGTTGGCTGTTGTCATTTTTTTTTTAAATTTGACAATCTAAGGAAAAAGTGATCAGCATCCCTAACAAAATAATTAGGGTATTTTTATTTTTTTATTTTTTTTATTTTTAAAGCATTTTCTTTTTTTTCAAAATATATTTTATTGATTTTTCACAGAGAAGAAGAGAGAGGGATAAAGAGAAACATTGATGAGAGAGAAACATCGATCAGCTAGCTGCCTCTTGCACACCCCCTTCTGGGGATATGCCCGCAACCAAGGTACATGCCCTTGACTGGAATCGAACCTGGAACCTTTCAGTCCGCAGGCCAATGCTCTATCCACTGAGCCAAACTGGTTTCAGCTCTCACACCATTTTTTGTTGTTAATCCTACCTGGAGGATATTTTACCATTGATATTTAGACGAGATCAGGCGCTTTCAGGGTGGTATGGCCGTAGACTTACCATTGATTTTTAGAGAGAATGGAAAAGAGGAGCAAGAGACAGAGAAACCTTGATGTGAGAGAGAGACATGGATTAGTTGCCTCCTGCATGGACCCTGACCAGGACTGGGAATCAAGCCTGCAACTGAGGTACATGCCCTTGACTGGGAATGGAATACATGACCCTTTAGTCTGAGGGCTGCTGCTCTAACCACTGAGCAAAGCTTACTAGGGCTCTCAAGCAATTTTGTTAATTCCCAAGATGATAAATCTGTCATCCAGATTCCACTGATAAGATTTGTCTTGAGTTATCAATTCAGAGGTTTCAATTTGTATACCATCAATTAATTACTTTCTAGGCATAATCTTCCTCCTTTTCCTTTTACTTACCCCACAGAGCCTTGGTCTGAAAGCTAATTCTAATTTGACACTAGTCTGCATGAATTCTAATAGTACCCCTGGTTCAGGATTGACAGTCAAATCCTAGCACACCACGATGAGTACAGTCCAACTGTTATGTGCTGAGGTGGTCCATTTACACATCAGTCTTATATTTTGCAACCAAGTATGTTTTGTTTAGTCCTGGTGCCTTGAAATTATGTGTAGGTGGTTGTCAGATAACCTGATAGAATAACAATGCTGTACATCCTGTTTCCTATCTGGATCCTTTTTTTAAAACTAAATAAACTCAGTGCTATGTTTTTTTTTGTTTTGTTTTGTTTTTGCCATTCAGCATTTTTATTTTTTATTATTTTTTTATTTTTTTAAAATCAGTCTTTATTGTTCATATTGTTACAAAGGTTCCTCATTTCTTCCCCCCTCCACCAGGTTCCCACCCCACCCTCCGCCCCCTCCCCATCCCCCATTGTCCTCATCCATAGGTGCAGTTTATGTTCAGTCTCTTCCTCCCTCCCTTTCCCCGATAGTAAATCCCTTTTCAGATAGTAAATCAGTTACTTAGCATTTTCTCATATCAATAATACCACCACATGCCCAATGATACATTTCACACAAAAGACATTTCCAAATAGGTCAACCAGCCTCATCCAGGCCCCACCCAAGGCACTCACAGATCAACACCCCAGCACTATACTAACTCAACACATCCAGATCTAAGCCTTCATCACTTGATTCAGCAGACCCTCAAGTTCCCACAAAAGTTTCCAGCCATGTCTGAGAGGCAGCCGTGGGGTAGGGGCAGGCGAGGAGCGAGCTGTTCCGGGTCTGGCTGCTCCGGGTCTGGCCTCTGTTGCTCTGGCTCGTTCCAAAACCAGCTGCTCCGGGTCTGGTCACCGCTGCTCCCGACCTAGTTGCTCTGGACCTGGCAGCTGCTGCTCCTGGCCTGGCCGCACCCGACCCGGCTGCTCCGGGCCTGGCCGCTCCCAGCCTGGCAGACACTGCTCCGGGCCTGGCCGCTCCCAGCCTGGCAGCCGCTGCTCCGGGCCTGGCCGCACCCGACCTCAGTGCTATGTTAAAACCTCCTTTCCTTTGAGTCAATACAAACCTGAGACCACTGTTGGTGGCAGTACAAAAATAGCCTATAAAATAAAGAAATAATATGCAAATTGACCATCACTCCAGCACACAAGATGGCCACCCCATGTGGTCAAAGATGGCCACCCCCATGTGGACACAAAATGTCCACCACAAGATGACCAGCATGGGAGGGCAGTTGGGAAGGGACCAAGCCTGCAAGGGAGGGCAGTTGGGGGCAATCAGGCCTGCAGGGGAGGACAATTGAGGGGGACCCAGGCCTTCAGAGGAGGACATTTAGGGGGGAACAGGCCTGTAGGGAAGGGCAGTTGGGAGGGCAAGGCCTGCAGCTGAGGGAAGTTGGGAGAGGACCACGCCTGCAGGGGAGGGCAGTTGGGGGTGGATCAGGCTGGCAGAGGAGTGTTTAGGGAATAATCAGGCAGGCAGGTGAGCGGTTGGGAGTCAGCAGTCCTGGATTGTGAGAGAGATTGTGCCTAAATGGGCAGTCAGACATCCCTTGAAGGGTCCCAGATTGGAGAGGGTGCAGGCTTGGCTGAGGGACACACACACACACACACACACACCCATGCACGAATTTCATACACCAGGCCTCTAGTAATACATATATATTGTAGACAACCAGAAAACTCAGGCGCCCTAACCAGTTTGGCTCAGTGGATAGAGTGTTGGCCTGTGGACTGAAAAGTCCCAGGTTCGATACTGGTCAGGGTCATGTTCTTTGGCTGCGGGCACATTCCCAGCAGGAGGTGTGCAGGAGGCAGCTGATGTTTCTGGCTCTCTATCCCTCTCTGAAAAAATTAATAAAATACATTAAAAAAAAAGAATACTCAGAAAAGCATAAAGAAAATAATAGCAGCCCAGCCAGCATGGTTCACTGGAGAACATTGAGTTCTATTCTTAGCACATTCACAGGTTATAGGCTTGGTCCCTAGTGTTGGTCACGGGTTATAGGCTTGCAGGAGGCAGCTAATCAATGATTCTCTCTCATCATTGATGTTTCTATCTCTTTCTCCTTCTCCTTTTCTTTCTGAATTTAATGAAATATATATATATATATATATTTTTTTTTAAAAGAAAAGAATAGCACCTATTCTTTTAGTTAGCCTGTCACTAAAAAATAATCACTATTAATAACTTGGTGGATTGACACAGTTTTAAAGTTTCTATAAAAATGTTCTATAAAATTATGTTCTGGCTGGTGTGTTCAGTGGCTAGAGCATCGGCCTGTGAACTGAAGGATCATGGGTTTGATTCCTGGTCAAGGGAACATACCTGGATTTTGGGTTTATTTCCAGCCATGATCAGGGCACATGGGAGGCAACCAATTGATGTGTTTCTCTCACATCGATGTTTCTTCCAGTCTCGCTCAATGGAAAAAAAAAAAATCCTCCGGTGAGGTTTAACAACAAAATAAAAGCATTGTGTATTTTACAAGTTTGAGATGAGAAATTACATAGTGTTTAGGACTGTGTTATTTTCTTTAGAAAATGTATCTTGGCCCAGCCAGATGGCTCAGGGGTTGAGCGTCAACCTATGAACAAGGATGTCATAGTTTGATTCCCTGTCAGGGCATAAACCCAGGTTGCAGGCTTGATCCCCAGTGTGGAGCATGCAGGAGGCAGTTGATCAATGATTCTGTCTCATCATTGGTATTTCTCTCTCTCTCTCTCTCTCCCTCTCCCTTCCTCTCTGAAATAAATAAAAATAAAGAAAATGTATCATGAACTGGTTTAATGATATATTCTTAGGAAAAATATGTGCACATGGCTTAAATTGTACACATTGCACCCAAGTAACAATTTTAAGTGGCTAGCAAGATGTACATGCTAACTTTCAAGGTGAACAGGTTCTATGTTTGGATATTTAAGCAATAATATAAAATACACAATATAGGGAGATAAGAGATCAACTGAAGGACTTGTATACATGCATATAAGTACAACCAATGGACACAAAACTCTGGGGAGGGAGGGTATGTATGTGAGGGGGGGGCAATGTTAAAATATGTACACAGATAATAATTTAATTTAAAAAATAGAGTGAGTACAGCCAAAAAAATAATAATAAAACACACAATATAACATAGAGATGATATATTGTAGAATTGTATACCTAAAACCTATGTAATTTTTTTAAACCAGTGTCAACCCAATAAATTCAATAAAAAAAGTTAAAAAGAAGCAATAATACAAAAAGTTGAAAAGTAATTTTCATCTTGAATGGCATATATGCTTCAATATTCTGCCTTTATGATAAAAGGAGAGTGAATTATTAAAGTGATTATGAAGTCTATGAGAGTAGTAGAGAAACTTGTATTACTTATAACTGATTTCTAGAAAAATTAATGGAGTGGCATTGATTTGTAAGTTGCTTCAGAATGGATGTTTGAAATATATTCTTTTTCTCTAAGTTGACTTCTCATTCATTTGATTTTCTTACTTTCTACAACTGTAGTGCCTATGAGATTATTAAGCTGAAGGGGTACACCTCTTGGGCTATTGGCCTATCTGTGACAAATCTGGTAGAATCAATTTTGAAAAACCTTAGGAGAGTGCATCCAGTTTCGACTATGGTTAAGGTAGGCTTAAATTGATCTTTATTATCATTAATGTTTGTTGAGTCCTTACTGTGTGCCAGGCATATACAAGGTGTTGAGGATATAACGGTGAACAAAAAAGACAGAGACCCTGCCCTCATAGAAGTTAATAAAAAATGGATTTAATAAAACAATTACCAAAGAACATATCTAATAATAAATTATACTATGTGCTATGATGAAAAACTAAAAAGTGCTAAGTGTACACAAGAAGAGAATTTAACTACTCTGGGGAGGGGCATAGTTGATGGTTAGGGAAGTCTTCCCAAAGAAGTAAAATGACCTAATCCAAGTAATGAGGAGGAGTGAATTTGGAAGGCTGGATTAATTATACAAGCAGAGGGAACACATGTGCAAGAGGATCTGGAGGTAGATATAAGCAGAGAACACTTGAGGATCTGAAAAAATAGGTCATCTATTGAAATGCAGAGAGAAAGGGAGCAATGGTAAGTGCACGATGAAGGGAAAAGCAAGCAGGGTCAGGCCACCAAAAGGAAGAGGGTAGGCTGTGTCATGGTCAGCACACAGGGCCAGGCGAGGCCCCAGGGGTCTAGGCTTTTGTTTTCAGCCCAATCAGCAGCCCCCAAATGGCATGATGGGATGGGCATGCATTCTACAGTTCTAGTCGGAGAAGCCCCTTCTAGAGAAAAGAGAGGAAGAGAGAAAGAAAGAGAGAAAGAGAGAAAGAGAGAAGAAGAAGAAGAAGTAGAGGGAAACAAATTCACAAATTCCTGGAACACTGACATGGAAGCAGAGGGCTTTCTTTCCCAGCCTTAGTGACCTTCTTTCTGATGCCACCCAATATCTGGAAGCTCATGTAAAAACTTCAAAAATTACAGAGAGGTGACAACAGAATGACCAAGTACAGGGAAAGTTAAGGGAAGGTGAGTGTAACTGGAGCTGGAGCCTGGCTGGGTATGGAATGTGGGCTGACAGTCTGGCGGGGCAGTGGACTTCCATAGCTAGGCACAGACCAGAGTGGAGTGAATATGAGTACAGCCTGGCAAGGGGTCTGCAGAGGAAGATGTGTGGTTGGTCTGATGGAGCTCATGAGGTTGAATATATAATGGCTACCAAAATGAGGAGGTGGCCAGAGAATCCCTCTGGGGGTGACTATAGCAATACGGAACAAGGTGTATATCCTGAGCTCCTGAGGAAAGTCCCAGAAATGGTGAGAGGGAAGCTTGGTGGGCTTTGAGCTATTGTGGGAAACTGGGAGGCACCACTCTAGAATCAAGGGGCTTTGCCTTTACCTGAATTCTAGTTCCTGATAACTTTATAATAAGACCTGGGGGAAGAACAAGACCTTTCCAACACCTCCTGCAACCCTAGACTCAACCCCATGGGTGGGGTAGGAAAGAGTAATGAGTGATGGAGGTCACTTAACCACCCTCTGAGTGATTCTTATTGTGCTCCATAGTCTCTCCAGTATATTCTTATTCTTAAGAAGCTCTCTAGCACAGCTGCTTTTCCATATCAGGTTAACTGAACAATTATCTAATTTTGCCTTTTAGGGCTTATATGGAATAAAAGAAGAAGTCTTTCTCAGTGTCCCTTGTATCTTGGGGCAAAGTGGTATCTCAGATATTGTGAAAATTAACTTGACTTCTGAGGAGGAGGAGCTTTTAAAGAAGAGTGCAGACACACTTTGGAATATTCAAAAAGACCTATCATTTTAAAGCCTTTCAATGTTCCACTGTTTTATAGAACAAAAGATAACAAACTGTATTTTACATTTTGAAAGTATTTTCATCTGATTTGAAAAATATAAGAAAACATTGGAGACCTATAGCATACTCCAGCCTTTCAAGGGTAGAAAAAGGAAGTGATAAATAAATTTATCCTCTTTTATGAATCTCGCATTGCTCTATTCTAGTGATACCCAACTTGTACAAATGTAAGAGTGCCTTCAGGTTTAGTAAAATATATATAACAATCCATTATAATATAGAACTTAACATTTTTTTCACAAAACAAGCACTTTCTCTAGTATTGAAATTTTATCTTATGCTTTCTTCCCTTAGGAAAACAGCATATTCACTTTATATTGCTTCATGTGTCTTTGTCTGATTTTTACTGAGTACTTATTTTTAAGACCATGTGTATCTGAAGGAAAATAGAAATATACCTTTTTGGTGTAAAAAATTTTTAATAACTTCAATCCTGCAAGTATAATACCAATTAATCTAAATTAAAATTGTGGATTGGGTGTCTTGTTGAAATACTACACAGGGCGCTTAGACCATCACATTAGATATGTGAAAATTAAGCATTGTGGAAAATAAATACAAAGAAATTTATCTTGACTTCTGACGAGGGATAGAGAGTTAGAAACATCAATGAGAGAGAAACATCGATCAAGGTACATGCCCTTGACCAGAATCAAACATGGGACCCTTCTGTCTGCAGGCTGATGCTCTATCCCCTGAGCCAAATCAGTTAGGGCATTATTATTTAGTATTTAATTTAATGAGGTGGGGGGGAACCGAATGATTAGGGGAAAATGTTTAAAAAGTCTCGAGGGAGAAATAATGAAAAAAAAAAGTTAAACACTTCCCTAAATATATTAAATTATTTGTTAGATGTGTGTTGTCTATTATGATTCACAAATGAATTAGAAAAAGTTAATTATGTAGAATATGGCAGGAGAAGAGATATGGAAATCTTGGTTTATTTCAAACTAAGAATTAAGTGGGGAATTTTGAATTCTACACTCAGATAATGACTTGTTTTCCCTTCCACTCGTAGAAATGGTTATCAGCACTGCACTGATCAAATTCTTAGGGTTTCATAGCTTATTTAAAAATCCCTGTTGCAGGCCCTGGCCAGGTAGCTCACTTGGTTAGAGTGTCCTCCCCATATGTTAAGGTTGCAGGCTCTATCTTTAGTCAGGGACCATAAAAGAAGCAATGAGTGGCCCGACTGGCATGGTATAGTGGTTGAGCATCGATCTATGAACCAGGTTCAATTCCCAGTTGGGGCATATGCCTGGGTTGTGGGCTTGATCCCTAGTGTGGAGTGTGCAGGAGGCAGCCGATCAGTGATTCTTTCTCATCTTTGATGTTTCTATCTCTCTCTCTCCCTCTCTCCTTCTCTCTGAAATAAAAATAAAAAAGGAAGCAACCAGTGCATTCATAAACAACAACAAATGCATGTTTCTCTCTCAAATCAATTTTTAAAAATTAACAAAAAATCATTGCATTGAGGGTTTAAAATATTTTTTTTTTTTCTATGTAACTTCACATCTGTGAATAGTAAAAAGTAGTCCTGAAGGGTTGTGGGCTCGGTGCCCCAGTAGGGGGCATGCAGGAGGCAGCTAATCAATAATTCTCTTCTCATTGATATTTCTATCTTTCTCTCCCTCTCCTTTCCTTTCATATATATATATATATATATATATATATATATATATAATTTTTTTTTTTAAAGTAGCCCTGTGGTATCTTCCTCCTACAGCCCTGATGAAAAGTTACCAACCAAGTGTCAAAAGCTCTTATTGTATACATCTGGACAAAGTTTGGTTAGAAATAGCTTTACTTGGGCTCTGCAGTGGATGGGTTCTGGGAAAGCAGTACTCCTTTTTTTTTTTTTTTAATATATTTTATTGATTTTTCACACAGAGGAGACAGGGATAGAGAGCTAGAAACATCGATGAGAGAGAATCATCGATCAGCTGCCTCTTTCACACCCCCCACCGGGGATGTACCCGCAACCAATGTACATGCCCTTGACCGGAATCGAACCTGGGAGCTTTCAGTCCGCAGACCAACTCTCCACCACTGAGCCAAACCGGTTTCGGCAGCAGCAGTACTCCTTTTGATAGCTGAGGCCCGCTAGTTCAGTGTGTCTGCTGCACCTCCTGCAGTGGGAGCCCAAGGAGCCTCTTTGAAGATCACCAACTACAGATACCTTAACCCATCAAATGTGCACACATGACAGGCATCAGAGCCCTAATCTCAGACCTCATGCTTATGCCAGGTGTGCTAGGCCCCTACGAGGGCGCTCGAGCTGGGCACAGCTTCAGTAATCAATGGTTTTCCTCCTCGGACCTCAGCCAGCTTTTCTGCATTCCCATCCTCTACCTCTCCAGTGAGCCGCCATAAGCTGGGCAGCAGGAGTCCTGTGCACCAGTAGGTGAGTGGATGCAGTGGAGCGAATTTCTTACCCTGGAGATGGCTCTGGGTCCCTTCGGGGTGGCACGCACCCCCCTGGGGGTGGGTGGGTAGCCCTTCTCCTGCGTGAGTGTGGCTGGAGGTACCTTGCACTTGGCTATACTTGGCCTTGGGCTGTACTTGGCTTGGTTCTGGAGCTGACAGCTGGGGTAGGGGGAGGACGAGGGTGGAAGGGAGTAAGCCGAACTGGCTGGTAGTCTCATCTTTGGTGAAGCAGCCCCCTTTCCTTCTTTCCTTCCCTCTTGTACACACTTTCCTCTTCCTCTCCTTGCTTTGCCTCATGGCCAGAAACTACCCAGCTTGTCTGATAGTCATCTTTGTAATTCCCTGTTGTGTCTGAAGCACCTCCTTCCTCACTGGCACCCAGTTCTCTGCAGACCGATTTCTAATGTGGTCATGACTTTGCAGTTTTTCTCTATTAGATTTTCATGACTGCCAAGCATAAACTTATTAAGAATTTCACTTCAGAGAAGGCCATTCATCACTATAAGATCCCCATTATGGGACCTGGAGCAGTTGGTGTGGCCTGTGGAATCAGCATCTTATTAAAAGTAAGTTATGTGCTTAGTGCCATAGCATTAACCAAGATTTCCTCTGTTGGAGGTCCGGCCACCACATGTGATTGTATAAGTGTGTTTAGTTCAAGGGTTGAGTTGGACCCTATCCCAGAGGAAGAGGTGACCTTTTATTTTAAATCTGTACCCAAGAATGTGTTTTTATTGATTTTAGAGAGAAGGGAGAGAGAGACATCAACAATATACGGATTGAACCCGTAGCCTGCGTATGTGCTCTGACTGGGAACAAGGATGATATTCCTAACAACGGAGTCACACCAGCAAGAGCCAGGTGCCCTTTTTAATTGTTCCACCCAGAGTGGGCTTCTTTTTCTAGTGCTTATGATAGTATCATGTGTTAGAAGCATCTGTGTGAAAGTGTGTTGACATTAGACTTTCACTCATTTGCTTGATTAGGAAATTGAGCTCACAGTCCTGGTTTGGTCCAATGAATAGAGCATCAGCCTGCAGACCAAAGGGTCCTGGGTTTGATTCTGATCAAGGGCATGTACCTTGGTTGCAGGCTTCTCCCCTGCCTTGGCCCTAATCAGGAAGCAACCAATTGACCTGTTTCTATCAATGTTTCTCTCTGTCTTGCCTTCTCTTTTCCATTTTCTCTAAAAATCAATGGGAAAATATCATTAAATGAGGATTAACAAAAATAAATAAATAAGGTGATTAAATGTTTAAGGGGAAAAAAAGAAATTGTGCTCATAAAAACAAAACCAATAAAAAAAAACCTGGAGAAATAGGTGGCAGGAAAAAAAAATATTTAGTTCTTATTATTGATGTAGCTGATAAAACTTAGCTTCCATTTTAATGGCTAGTCACAGGACTAAAACATTTGAGTCCTTTCT